CGTCAACGTACCATTGTTCCAAAAGAGCATAGCGTCAATTAGCTAACACTCCTCGCCTAGAAAGGGTGGTGACAATAAGCTGTCCGAGAAGTTATGACAGGCTTATATAGCGCTAGGTCATTATAGCTCACAGTATGGTAAAAACGGCTTCAAGTTATTCGTGATGGACAACTGCTCGTTCTTGCTGTTCATCTTAGGATTGCGCGCAAGAATATACGATGCTTCCAGTGCTTTTCGCGCCGATGCTTAGTCAACACTTCTATTATTTGAATCATGCACTCAATAACCAAGGTATTATGATTTGTGGTAAACTTTTGGACGGAATATAGAGTCGTTCCCATTAAGCCGTTACGAATGCTAAGAAAGAGTAGACACATTTCGAGCTGATATTTTATCACTTCTTAATCTGTTTTTTTTTCTTCTTTTATACATATGTTTTCTAAGAAGATTTTGCTTTTATCTTCCAAAAACCCTGCCTTGCATGCACATGTTATTTCACTATCATTCTATTCTACTTTCTCGTCCTTCAAAGCAAAAAATTCACGTATCGGTATGCTTGCATCGGAACAGGAAGGGCGCTGTAAATAGGAAATTTGGATTGAGGCCATATTTATTAGAATTTGAAAGCAATATGGATTCATGCCGTGCATTGCAAAGAGAAAGGTTGATATTCTACGCAATCAGGCAAGCGAGTGACCTTTTGAACGAATCAAGCGTCTATATGACTACGGTAACGCTCGGTAGGAACAGGGACCACGATATTTTAGAAGGACTTTGATTGCTTTAACTACTGATTATCCACATGCAGTACTTCCGTATTCGACTTCCGCCCCTTTTAGATACCTCGACACCTCGTCATTGCTCTGTGACTGCCACCTCGCCTGGTTCTCGTCCTGGTTCGTCTCTTCGAAGCTCTCACGTCGTACTGTACACACCCGCTGCGCCCACCCATTGCCACTCAGCGGCATTGACGTATTCGCCATCGATGCGAGCAATCTCACATGCGGTTGGTTTTTTGTGCTAAAAATAAGAAAAGATGAATTGTAGTGGTTTTTAATGACTAGGAGCCCCTTACTACACTTCATTTACACTCTTGTGGCTTGTTTACGCAAAGGCGCTGCATGCTTCGAAGTCAAATTTTTCAAAAAGAAGGCTCCAATATAGTTTCAAACACTCTCCTCATTATGGATGATTGCATGGTGCAATGAGAGATTACTTCCTCATTTGTTCGCGAAATTCTATGCACCAAATAAATCTGGAATCTGGTGTAGGGCTGGGAGGGGAGGTAAAATCACGGAATAATCTCAAAAGAGTAAGAAGGAACAGAAACACGTACCAAACTGTTCCGAATAGTATAAGCGACCTCTTACCCATTGATATTGCCATTATCTCGACATTAAAAAAGTAGTATAATCGTGTAAAGCGAGTTGAGAGTGCTTTTTATGCTTCGTTACTAGAAGAAAAGGGAAAATGTAGGGCTTTTACAATGTCGAAGTTGCCGAGGACTATGCAGTCATAGAACGAGAAATTCAAGCTTGATAAACTTTGTTGAAACTGCTTTTTGAACCATGCAACCTGCGCAAGAAATCCTGCTTTTTTGCGTGTATCTAAAAACTCTCTGTACAGACTTGTGATATCTCTGTTGTCAGTAGTCTCTAGTCTATCTACAGGTTCGACCAAGCAAAACCGAAAGTGTAATTATTCTTTGTCTATTATATAATCGTAAACATTTTAGTGGATGACTCTCCTCGTGCTCATATTATCGAGCACCCAGCAACGAGCGTCACCACCCTAGTTGGAGGACAAGCTCGTTTCACATGCTCAGGATACGGTCATGCACCATTGCAAGTCGAGGTATTTATTTATTTGTGGAAAAACGAGTCGCAAATCTTAGCGGAAGGCTGCTTAAATAGTTCTTTTGCGTGGCGAACGGCCATAAATCACTGGATTGTGATTTATGCTTGCTTACCTAATGGAACACATTCAAGATTTCGGACACACTTTTT